GCTTAGAGCCCTGCGCGGGACGCGGGCCGGCCGCGGGTCGGGAAGGGAAAATTATTATATCGGTTATTATCGTGTAGATTAACCGTGGAGGAAATAAATAAATGACTGCGTGGGTGACATCAACAGACTCAATTTCTTCCTGCGATCAATCCTGAAGATTCCGGAGTCCGGAATGCGGCCAGCATCTATTTCCCATTCGGGAACCGCCTTCTGGCCCCAGATGGTGGCTTTATTTCCCCATACCGAATGAACCCCGAATTATGCGTCGACCTGAAATGCGATCGATCGAACGACCGAGCAAAAACTGCAAGGTGGGAGGAATCCGGGATTCTCGATGCGAATTCCGCGACCATCATTTCTCTCTTCATTGCCGAAAAGCTATCACCTGTGAGAGTCAGATGTCATTCCTGTGAGAGTCAGATGTCATTCCTATGAGCGTCAGATGTCATTCCTGTGAGCATCAGATATCACTCTATCTTGGGCCAGAGAAATGAGCTGGCTTCGCATATAAATCACTTTTGAAGCATATACGTAACTTTTGAAGAATGAAAATTAAAAACTGGAAAAAATAGTGCAAATTTCCTTCTGCAATATAAATATTTAAAAAAAACTTGCAAAAAATACGCTTTTTGCCGTTCAAAGTCAGGGATTCAAATCCTCATTCTAGTGAAGCATGTAAGTTGAAGGAGAAAATTTAGGCTTCCTTTCTTTTTTAGGGCTGTTCCGGTAGCCACATTTGGCCATCGGTCTCCTTGAAACGGTAGAGACCACTTTCGCTCCTTTCCAGCCTTCCCGTCCCTCCGTGAGGCCGTCCGCGGTTGGTTTCTTTCTTTGCCGCTCCTCTCCTCTGCCGGTTCCTGTAATCTGGCTGTAATGTTCGATTAGGCAGTTTACCGAGTTTACCATAGTTTAAGCTATTCTAAATTCGTATTAATTTAAATGCCAGGAGTAAATTTTAATGCGTGTGCTTCCTTCACCTACAATGAAAATAAGAACTTTCAACAATAATGATAATAACAAAAAAATATCACACAACAATATGTAATTAAATTAAAGTGAGAATAGCTGAAAATCCATCGGCAAACTATTTTATGGAACACCCTGTATAATCCAATCGATACAGTATTTGTATCTGGGAGAGGCTGGCAGGAATGGCTTTCAGTCAGACAGGAGGGCCTGCGCCTAGCAGTGTTATTTTTTTCGCTTTGCCCGTCCTTTGGGCACCGGCACCGGTGCCATAGGCCGATGGTGCCGATAGTACAACACCGGCGGGCGATACCGGTGTTGGCCGGTACATCGGTACAGCCTTACTTTTTTTTACATCAGCTGTAGCGACATCACCTGTTGATGGTCGTCGCAAGTTACACAGCAAAGTAGAAACGTACAAGGAGAGGTACAAATGTGAGAGGTACATATTGTGTCCCTCGGGTCTGCACGTGTGGTCCAGACGTACACAGGTGTACGTTGCTGATGCAGATGTCCGGGTTCTCAGGGCAGTACTCAAAGTAGGCAGAAGATGGCGTTTATGTTCCCTCAAATTTTCGAACTCGAGTCAGGACTCACCAGACCTTAGGAGAAGAGTTTTCTTCCTATCCCTGTATTTATCTTATCGCAATACTTGTAAAGGCGTATTTAGTAAAAGTATAAATATCATGTTTCAATGCAATCAATGATTCTGGAAAATTTTAAATGCTGGGGTTTTGTACGGGAACAGAGAAGTGTGAACCAACAGGTTATGAGTTTTTTTCTCTCTGAGAAATGGATGGCCAACTTTCAAGAAACTTGGAAGATTGTTCTTCTTAAACATGGTGTGCTAGTTACTTAATGTCCCCATGATAACAGGTGTGTTCATGAGACAGTCGGCACGCCCTATGCGAAGTGAAGACGCTGTCAGCGTGTTGTCAGTGACAGGTCGCTGCCTGTCGTAGACGTGGTGCAGGATGATGGGCCATTAAAGCTCCCTTCGAAGCCGACAATTGAGGTTCATGAACCGGTTTTTGAATCCCCTAAGTCCGATGTGAATAGAGATGAGAAAGGTGCACATGTGTACCTTCTGTACCTTTTCAACGAGCGTATTTTACGACAACGTTTGTACCTCATAACGTAAAAAAAAAAGTGCGCCTGACTGTACGTTTCTGCTTTGCTGTGTATTAAAGGCAAATGAGTCGAGCAGAAGCACATCTTCCGCGAAAGCAGGACACATCGGCGGGAAATCCCTGCCCAAACGGAACTCCGGAATTGCATCTGCCACTTCGAAATAGCTCCCTTCACGGGAATCGGAAAGCATCCACCGGGCATAACTCCTCCCCCCCTCCACTCCCCCTCCCTCAGGCTCGGGGACGACGGGAAGGGAGGATGATGGAGTGGGCTTCCCCTTCCAGCGTCTCGCGAGAGAGAGGGGAGACGCGCTCGAGTGGGATCCACCCATTTCCACACTCTAAAAGGCTTTAGGCGACATAGGCGACACATCGCAACGATGCAACGGTGCAATTGGAATTCGAGCGATTCCGATGACCTCCCTTCGCTCTCCGCGTGCCATCCACATCCTCTTCCTGTTAGCCGCTGCCACACGCCCTTAAAAGCCACTGGAATTGCCGATAAGACGGGAATTTCCTGATTTGAAATCGTTCTTGCTCATGACGTACCGGTGAGCGAAAGCGGTGAAAATCGATTTCTCGCTCTCGGACGTGCAAATGAGCAATTAATGTGATAAAAGTGCCCAATGGGAAAGCAGGAATCATTGTCTTCATTTGGTTTGTTGCTCGAAAAATTTCTCAAAACGACGCGAAGTTGCCCGACTAAATTTGATAAGAGAGGGTATCTGAAAATGAATCGGGACTGGTGACTCCTTCTTTCCTTGGCGTACTGGGTACTGGGTGCAGGTACTGGGTGCAGGTACTGGGTGCAGGTACTGGGTCCAGGTACTGGGTGCAGGTACTGGGGGTCTAGCGTTGGGCCTCGAGTGAATGCCCAGCATTTCTTCCTTAACTTTTTCCTTTTAATTTTATTTCCATAAAATTTTCTATTTTACTACCCAACCCCACCAAAAAATAGTTATTTAAGACAAAATTGTAATAAATAAAATAAATAACCGCACTGATTTGATATGGTCCAACCTAATCCAATCTGAATTCAGATCTGAAAAAAAAATCTGTCCCTTTTGCTCCTCTCCTCCAATGATACTGATAAATAATGATAAATGATATGGCCTGCCCGACGTCCCTCAGTCCAAAATGCAGCGAGGATTATCCGATTGACGATTATCGCAGGATTCAGGCGCCTGAAGAAATACGTAATCCAAATTAGAAAACCGTCCTCTCCCTTTAGACGCTGCGATTTTCCGAATGTTTCCGTTCCTTTCGACCTCCCTTTCGACCTCCCTTTCGACCTCCCTTTCGACCTCCCTTTCGACCTCCCTTTCGACCTCCCTTTCGGGAGGAACTTAATTATCGAATTCGCGAATGAAACGCCTCGGAATCCGCTGGAAGCCAGAGAACGGATTCGCGGAAATTAAATTTTCCTAATTCATTTCGCCTTTCAAAAAGTTCTTTGGTGGGATAGGGCAATTGCTTCGGTCACGTGACCTTTCCTTTTTTTCTCAGATGGAAAGGGGAGGAAAGAAATTTCGGGGACGGCGTAATCCGGAAGCCGGATGATGAAGCCCGGATGAGGGATCGGGGCTTCGCTTCAGGTCTTCCGGGGGAGGTTTTTGGAAGCAATACGCGACCGATATGCCTCTTTCTCCTGAGAGGAAGTCGAACAATGAGGAGAAGGGATTTTTCCTCTCAGTCCAGAGGAAAAATCAACTCGGGTATGGGCCCAATCGATGCGACTGTGCACGGAGAAAGGGAATTTGTGGTACACAGTTAAAAAAAAAAAAATGGTTCGCGAAAAGAATCGGGATCCGAGGATCTTGGAGACTTTCCTGCGGTCCTCCCCGAGCCCATGCAGGGCCGCGAAAAAGAGTATCCGCGGAGGGCTCTATCGCGCCGTGTGTGGCGCACAAGTCCTCCTGTAGTCTTTCCTCTTTCCGTCAGTCTTTCGCGCTCTGTCCTTCAGGTCGGGAGCGTCTGCGTCAGTGCTGCATCGAGTGTCGTGAGGAAGTGACATGCGTTTTCCGGATTTGAAGGCGATTTCTCCTTTTAGCGTCGAGGTTTGACGGTTGTTTTTTTTTCGCGGAGTTCCGAGCCTTGGTCTCCCCGGATTTTCCATTTCGGAGCTCGCCCGCGTCGATCGGGTTCTCTGGACGCCGGTTCGAGTTGGAATTCGAAAAAAAAAAGGCAATGTGATTTTCCTTTCCTTGCATCTTGCTTGTCAGATCGGCGGTTTCTCCGAGAGAGGCCGGGTCGTTTGCCCTTAGATTCCCAGAGATCGGAGTTCTCTCTTCCGATTCGTTTTGGGGGGAAGTTAACGAGACCGGCGGAAATTTGAGGAAACTTTATGAACTCAAAATTCAGAATTGGGAGATTTGACGCTTTGCATTAACGAGGAAAAGTTGGAAAGAAAAGGCGGAAGAGTCATTTTATATTCCGTGCGCGATTTAGACGCCTCCATCAGCGAGGAACATGGGCGACGGGCGTCCGAAACGGCTCGAAGAGAGTCTGAGGGGGCCGGGTCGGGGCTGTGGGCTGGGGCTGTGGACCGGGGCTGTGGGCCGGGGCTGTGGACCGGGGCTGTGGACCGGGGCTGTGGACCGGCCATCAATCGTTCTTTGAGACGGGTTTACGAAGTGAAACGCTGGAACAAATGCCTGAACGTGTCTGGTGGATTATCTCGAGAAGTAACTGAATGCCTGCACTTTCATCGTATGTGCCAATTTTTTTGTTTTGCAATACAGTATTTGCGGAACAATTTGATTGACATCATTTTCCGGCTTGTGCGGTCGAGATACTGAACGATTTTTCTCGCTTCCGTTTTCACGAGCGAATCCGACGACGTGCCGATCATCAACGGAAGAACATTGCTCATCAACGACCATCCGTTGATGATCAACGAATACGATGGGGGCAACCGAAGTCCGAAAGGCAATCGGCCCCGATTCCGGCTCGCGCAACCCGATAGAGAAGTCATCGTTCTTTGAATCGCGAGCAGCCAACTTCGCCCACTTCCGTGCCTTCATCCCTTCTGGTGAGAAGGGATGAAGAAGAAAAATCCAAGGGATGACAAGTCCCACGAGAATCCCCGGGAAGACCACGGATGAAATGTCAACCCAGAATTCTCCCCGGGGGGGAACCGACTCGGTTCCGATTTTTGCAATCGGGCACGACGGATGATGAAGATTCTTCGCTGATCGGAGAATTATCAGGGCTTCCGGTTCCGTCCGGAAGATTGCGAGCTTAATCGATCCGATGGATAGTTCAGAGGATGAAAGATCTGAATGACTGCAAGAAAAATTTTCTGGGAAATCATCAGAAATTGGATGTTAAGGCGAAAGCGTTTCCCATTATAATTAACCGTTCAGATAATTTAAAAGTAATTCATTTTTGATGGGACAAGATTGGGAAGGAAAGGGCGAGAATCGAGAGGAAAATTATTTTTTCATGTCGAAAAAAAAATTGTTCACGAAAAGTCATGTGAAGTTGCTCGTGCTCATTCTCTGCTGAAAAAAAAAGAATGAAATTCCCCATGGATGAGGTCGGAGTAGCAAGCCCCAAGAGTCGGGTTCTTAACGAGTTGTCGCCCTCGGGACCGTGTCGGATCGGGCAAAGGGACGACAGGGTTGCCATGTCGTCCATGAGGTGACCAGACGGCCGTGGTATCTCTCGGATGCACGCGTGCCTCTTCCGCGACTTTCGCTCCATCCTTCCTGCATGCATTCAGTGCAATATCCAATTACTTGCGCTGAATGGGACTGTCCTCACTTGCTGGTGATTAGCTAAATGCAACAGGATTACACCTGGCGTTCCGTAGCCGGACAATTATAGACGGCTAGTTTCAGAGCGCAGGCACTATTTTATTTCCAAATCACTTGAATCCCGAAAAATAATTTACATAAGAGCTTAAAATTCGTAAACAGCAATTTAATAAAGTGTTTGGATAATTGTATTCAGTTTAGGAGGCCTATGAACATGAATGTAATGGCATTGAAGAAGTGTTTCGGAAGTGTTTCATAAGTGAGGTGATGAAATGATTAAGGACTTAATTAAATTAAAATGATCCCAGGGCATTCATGTGAGAAGCGTTTTGATCCATTGGGGAACTCTACGCGCGAAATAAGCATAACGAGGCCCGAGCAGGCTTTTAAAGTCATTAAGGGGACCGCAAACGAGATGAGTAAGGTAGGCGTTTCAAGCTCCACGGGCAACTCCTTCCATGACTTAGTCATGTGAATTTACATGCCTTCATGGGCGATGCCGTCAAGGGAGCAATATAGGAAATACGCAGTATATGCATATGCTTACGGAAAAATACAGGGTCTTTCAAAATTAGGTCGCAATTTCGAACAATTATATCTCGGAAATGAATAGAGCTGTGAATATGAAACAAAATGCATTTTATTAGTAGAGACCTGATATTTTTTCCCATTACATTTTTCACAACCTCCCACACCCGAGTAAGCATGTCAGCGTTAACCGTGGCAACAGCTGCAACAATCCTTGCTCGCAGTTCATCAACGGTTCTCGGTAGGGGGACCGGTACACTTGATCCTTGATGCAGCCTCACGGACGAACGTCTGGTGGGGTCTGGTGACCTAGGGAGCCGTGCGATGGGACCTGCTCGACCAATCCATGCGCTGGGGAGGGTCGTGTCGAGGCAGGCCCTCACCTCCATATGGAAATGTGGTGCAGCGTCGTCTAGTTGATAGATGACACTGGCCCCAAACAGATTAGCATTTTGCTGTAGCAAGTAGCTAAAAACTGCTGGAGCATGTCTAGAAACACCACTCCAGTAATTGTCATTTCCACAAAGAAAAAGGGTCCATAAAGCGTCCCGTGAAATTAGCCCTTTTACTTCACGACTGTTGTCAGCGCTATAAGTGGGAGAGAGGACAACTAACCACGCGAAAGAAAACTTCCGTTGTCCTCCAATAGAATGCACTTTGTTTCATATTCACAGCTCTATTCATTTCAGAGATATAATTGTTCAAAACTGTGACCTAATTTAGAATGACCCTGTACTCACGGCAAGAATGTGCAGTTAGGAAGCACACCGGGTCACTAATGGAGACCCGTCAGAAAATATAAATCATTGTGAACCTGCCGGGAAGGGGGGGGGGGGGGGGGGGGGGAAGTGACAGGACGCAGTAATATTATTGATCGGAAATACAGCTTTTCAAAGTTCCAGCGGTGTGTCTCATTTGAACACTATGGGGCATAAGTGGATGAGCCCCTATTAGGAAGACATGAATGCGTCATGGGTAATGGCTAGGAAGCATATCAAAATAAGAGAATTTCTTTCATGAATTTGTGAATGATGAGTCATATTCTCTCATCAGAGATGGAGACTTCTGAATGGAACCGGAGTGGGGTCGTGGATGCAGACGGAGACGTGGAATATTACCGGGAGTGCATGGAGGCGACGCGATTCTGGATCCAACGGGTGCTGCTGCCGATAGTAGCGGCCGTGGGGATGGCCGGCAATAGCCTCTCCATGATCATCCTGACGCGCAAGGAGATGCGGAGCTCCATCCATTGGTACCTGACTGGATTGGCCGCCTCGGACCTCCTCTACCTGGTCTTCGTCTTCTCCCTGTCGTTCCGGCATTATCCCTGGAATATGCCACTGTCCTACTGGCATTATTACCCAGTGGGACTCTGGCTTTCTGATTCCTCCAGTGAGTCAACCCGGAAGATATTTGTGGGGAGGGGGGGAAGCATGGGGTTATCGCGTGAAACCATGTACGTGAATGAAGTTCTTGTGCACGTCTTAGACGAAATACTCCAAGTGGACTCGTCCTTGTTAAGACCTTTGGCCACCCGCCAGATGCTTGGTGAAAACTTACTTAATATCCATGTCTTGTGCTGTCTTGCACAGGGACACATGTGCATCATGAACAGGGTACCGTTTTCTTCCGTTTCCATGCGTAGTGTGCATCGCTGAAAGTGCTCCCAAGTCATACATTACACCGGAAATACAATAGTTGCAATTAAAAAAAACGCATCACCTAAGAAGATGAGTAATCTTCATGCAACGCTGTGCACGAACTCGCAGCTCTGAAATGAAATCGCTCAGAGCAGTGGTTCCCAAACTTTTTTGGTCACGACTCAATATTCAACATTCAAACCCTGGCTTAGAGTGTCAATGGTCTCGGATGAATATTCACATAGGAAACTTGTCGCAAGGAATGGGTCGCGCCATTGATGACATCCGTCTGCTTTTTTTTTCCTTTTCCTTTTCCAAAATCCAAAGTCCCTTTGGATTTTGGGCATTGCTGAGCCTTTAACCAGAAAGCAAAGTCAAGAAGAAATCTCCAGAGGAAATGTCAACGAGTTCTTTGGGCGTTCGATTTATGCAGGCGAATTTGGATAAATGCATCAGCTTCATGCATGAAACTCATCCATGCATGAAGTTGATGCAAACTAAGCATCCCAATTTACGTTCTGCATCTCACAATCATCTTGGGGATTCCATGCATTCGCATGATGTATCTGGTATTCGCTGAAAACCACTTGCCTGCCTTCTTCCACGATCTCGTTAATTAGCACTACTGCTTCAGGACGAACAGGAGTCTAACAAATTCCTCTATCCCAGTATAGTGGGATGCAGAATCGATAGCTAGCGATAATTGATGTAGCAATGAAAATAAATCATGGTGACTACCAGAATTTTGTGACTGGAATTTTTTAACTATTCATCCACTCCTGAATCTATCATCCACCCATACATAACGAGTTGAGTACATCCGCAGAAAATTGATACGATATGCATGCCATGACAAAGAGCACCAAGAAAATTATACCACATTTCTTCCTGATTCAAGGCAACACTTCCGTGTGGCTGACGGTGTCCTTCACGGTGGAGCGATACCTGGCCATGAAGAACCCGCTGAAGGGCAAGGTGTGGTTCACCGAGTCCCGGGCGAAGCGGGTCATCGCCCTCGTCTACATCCTCTGCTTCCTCAGCGTCCTCTCGACTCCCTTCGAGTGGCGAGTCCAGGAATCCCATCTGGTTCGTGATGATCGAGACGAATCCCAAATCTCCCTCGTTCTCAGCAGCCTCGGCGCTAATCCTGGGTACGTTTCATCGATCAGATAATAGACAGGGTGTTCCATAACTCACTTTGGGATTTGATATTAATGTAATTTCAGAATGACTTGAGTTATTTTGAGTCAGAAAAATTATTGTTAGCCTGTAATCTAATAAGTTTTATCGGCAAAGTATTTGTTTCTCAGATATGTTCCAGGTAGACATAAAAATGCTAATTTCTAAACAGCTACTTGATATGGTTCGATGGATGAGTAAGTTTGAATCTGCAACGCGAGCCGGACTCGAACTCCATCGCGTGTCATCGAGACTGTAAAACATCACCCAAATGGCAATCTTAAAAAGTTCTGGAACGCTGAGAGTCTCCACGATTCGAAAAGTAGCGGGCGTCCGTCGGCTTCGCGGAAAATGTCGCGATTGTCGCGGGTTTTCCCCCACGGTCTCGCCGGGGCGCTCACGCTGGAACCAGCGTCTGGTTCGTGTTGCAGATTCAAACTCGTTCTGAAGTCAGGAGCTCTACGTCTATCTGGGGCTTATCTGAGAAAAAAATTTGTTGTCAGCAAAACTTATTAGACAGCAGATTAACATGCTCTTTACAGACTCAAAATATATTACGTCATTCTCAAATTGCATTAATGCGCGGTATGAACTCCCCTATTGACTTTGGGGACACCCTGTATTTTCAAGGTTATTCTCGGGGGAACCCGTGATTGAACAAGGCCAGGCTGAATGGGCTCCGCATGCACGTAGGGAATGATGCCTAGACCTCTCGTAATCAGCGTAATCCTCAATTCTCCTTTCCTGGGTCGAGACAAAGCCCAGACTGGGAGAGTCTCAACTCATCTAATCTGGGAGAGGGAGAGACGTGCCTGGAACCCGTCGGGTCCAGACGGACAACGAAACAAACGCAGAAAAGCAGACCCATTCAATGTCTCCATATTATTTCTTTTGGCGATTCTTCTCAGATTTTCCCAGCTTTTCCGTCCCTTTTCCCAGACGATGGGCCATGAGTTCGTCCGGTGGTCCTCGGTGGCTCCCCTGTACGAGCTACCAGGGCGAATGATGGCACGAATGATGGCACGAATGATGGCTTTTCTCGCCCGCCTTTCACCGCGATGAAAGGACTCCGCGATTCGCATCGCAGCGTTCGTCCGTGTTGATGAGGAACGTCGAGGAAGATCACGAAGAAATAATTTTTTTTTTTTTCATCGCCCTTTTCGGCGTCTTATGGTCGGAGGCGTTCTTGCGAAACTCGGTTAAATTTATTGTTTCAATTCGGTGTTGCATCCGAAAGCGTTTTTCCTGTGTTTTTCTCCAGCGATCGATGGAGAGTGCATGGAACGAAATTTAAGCTGAAAATCCGATAAAAAACGCTAGAAGGATCAGGAAAATGGGTTTATAACTCCTTTCCTCTCCACCGCCTAATTGACTGTCACCTTTCCCTCTCCCCATTTGCATCTTCCTACGCCGGTGCAAATCCCCTTTCAAGCGTCGGTATCATTCCAGGAAAATTTGCGATCCGCGTTGAAAGCCTTGTAAACTCTTCAGTGCGTAGAATTTCCTGTCTGCGAGTATATTAAAGCTTGCCTCACAGCGCTGACCCGTTTCCACCCGAATTAGTTAGTTTCAGGCCAAGTTGAAACTCGGCATAAGCAGGGCTCATGAGCCCGATATCACTCTCCAAGCTCTGTTATTTGATTCAGCAATTAGATGCAGACAAAATCTGGGCAAATCGAACTGAAGTATGTAATAATTTAAATCATACGTGCTGTACTTTGTCACATACTAGCACGCACGCACGCACTCACACACGTACGCACGCACTCACGCACGCAAACACGCACTCACACACGTACGCACGCACTCACGCACGCAAACACGCACGCACGCACGCACGCACACACGCACGTAAGCACACAAACAACCAATCGCAACATCAAGCAGTTGAGCAATTTAATTAGACATTGCACTTATTCGTGACATTGTGAAATGACATCAATTGAAGTTCCAAAGGCTCAGTCGTCACCGATATCCGTCACAGAGTTCCCTCACAGAGATTCGTCACAGAGATTCGTCACAGAAGCTCCAAATGCTGCTTTAGAGCATGGTGAAAGGGTCGAAAGGAAGAGGATGGCTTCACCGAAGCCCCGCCCGACCTTCCTTTCCTCGCGCCACTTCGCCGTTCTCGAGTGACTCGGGAGGGCCTAGAGGATTAATCGATTAATCCAACATTAATCCAGTGAAAGAAGGTTTAATAATGATTTTTTTTTAAGACGTGCATATAAATGCAGTCGGCGCTCGTTATAACGAATTTCCTACATAACGAAGTTTTGAATCCGCTGCAGGAGTTGCAACTACTTTCCCGGGAAAATCTCATCTAATTCCTAAATTTAGCACCTTCCACCCACCAATGGGGGGAGCGACGTCAGTCAGTCGTAATCTCATGGATCAGTCCGGGATCATTCCGGGATCAGTCCGGGATCAGTCCGGGATCAGTCCGGGATGCCTCCGACTGCTTTCCAGCCAGAGGCTGAACCTTTTCAGGCAAAGAATCGTTCGTGCAGGAGCGCGGCCACTTTGTTTCTGATGGTGAGACGCATTTTGTGACTCGTCGATTTTTAATGCACCTCCGTAAGTACCACGTACAGGTACTTATTGCTGAGTATGGCCATTTAGATACAAGCACACATCTTGGAAGTCGTATTAATGCAACACGCTTTGGCCATTGCTTTTTTCGCGAAGGAACAAATACTTCCAATTTTTTTCAATTACATTTTGTTTGAGAGGGCTTTTTCCCAGCGAAAGGTGGGGAATTCCCCATAACGAATTTTCCTTAAAACGAAATTCCTTCACCTGTCCCTTCGAGTTCGTTATATCGAGCATCGGCTATAGATTCCGCATCAGCTCAAGAAATTTCTCGGCAGCGAAGAAAATGCAAGAGAGATCATCTGAAAAACCAGAAGCCACGATTAAATGGCTGCTTGAAGTCGGATTCCAGCCAATTTAGACACCGTGGAGGCGACTTGAAATCACGCGGTCGGGGTCGGTACAACCGAGTGAACGGATGGGCTCCTAATGATGAACGTGATGAACGTGATGAACGTGACGAATTTGATGAACGTGATGAACGTGACGAATGTGATGAATTTGATGAATTTGATGAACGTGATGAATTTGATGAACGTGATGAACGTGATGAATGTGATGAATGTGATGAATTTGATGAATTTGATGCATGCTGATGTTGACGGGCGGTGGAGATTATTGAAGTCCTTTCCGATAACGCCAGTGCACGAGAGAAATGAGGGTTTCATCCGAGTCACGCTCTTTCGTGACCCGCCTCATGCGCCTGTTGGAGGACCTACCAGGGTCTGCAGCTCATTTGTCAAGGGAGAAATAATTTATATAAATAACTGGAAGAGGACGCAGGGGTACTCGCGTCTGCCCTGATGAGAAGTGTCTCTCTTGCCTGTTTTTTTATTTTATTTTATTTTATTTTTCGCCTTCCCTTGAAGTCGTGCTCCGTGCTTCGTGCGGGCACCGGGCAGTATGCTCCGTGCGGCACCCTGTCCTGTAGGGTGGATGAAAAACTCATAAAATTAGCCTGCCCTTCCTTCTTATTCCAGAGGGTGGTAGAGTATTTATTAACCAAATCCAGGAGGGAGTGACTCCGAAGAGGGCTCCATATGAAAAAGGGTGAACTTTCTTGCCCTATCCTACATGGTCGCGGATTGAAACCCTAAGCTGAATATTGAACTTCTGAATAAAATGCATACACGCGATTACGCACGTGCCATCAGAAAGTGACACCTAATATTTTACCCAGGCAGGTTAAAGGGGGAGATTTTTTACCCAGGATAAACGCTGAAAGAGCTCGGTGACAAGGATTATAAGAGTTATAATCCCAGGATAACGCGTTTCGACTGAGACGTTATCCTGGGATCGCCCTGGGACTGTCCCAGGATCGCTCTGGGACTGTCCCAGATTAAAATCTCAGTCGAAGCGCATTAGTTTGCATAAGCACAATTTGACAGCTGAAATCTTTGGAGTGAGGAAGATGTGGAAACTCTCCGGCTTCTATTTCGCGATCTGATTTCAGACCCGGCGTCCATTCCAATGGACATTCAATTTTCATTGGGTCTATGGTAATTTCTTGGAATTCTCGTGACTTTGCGCCCAAATTACACTTTAATGGGCGCAATTATGAATGACTCAATTCCAACGGAGGCCTTCTTTCACCCGTCAGTTTAGTAATCTTAAGTTATTTTATTAAACGGATACTATATAATACAGGGTGGAGCAAAAGTCGCGCACCATAGGGGAAATTACAATGTCCGAATCGTTTGCCATTACCTCGAAACCACTTCGATTCGCTGCACACATGTTTGAACATATCTTAACCCCAGCCTCTCTTCTTTTGCTAATTTTGCAGCCATCACTTACCTGCAAAGAAATAAGCAGGAATTAAGGTAGTGCAGCAGTGAAATCCTCTATGGTGCGCGACTTTTGCGCCACCCTGTATATGGTATGTTATGGTAAATTTATACAAAATATAAAACCGATATGTAGGACATAGAAATTTAAAGCCAAAGAGCTCAAAAATGCAAAAACGTATATAATTTCGAAAGCGGCCTTGATTCAGGTCTGAAATGGTTAATATTCAAAGCATGCTTGATGGCACGCAACGGAATAGGGAAGCTTGTTCCCTCTTAAAAAACGCAGTAGCGGTCCCAGGATGACAGGTCAAAAGAGGGGAAAGGCCATCATATTCTCCTAAATTCTCCTGGGATGCTCGAGTATTTTATGGCAGGGGGGAAAGAGACATTCGTGGAAGGACAGGGTTGCCATATGTTCAAGCCTTCTGGTTTCTTTTTGCTTGAGACGTCCAGCGAAGCTCGTTATTCATCTCTATGACATGGTGCAACCCGAATTCGAAGGAATTTGGACCATCCGACAACCCTGACCTATCATCCTGCCTCCTTTTCCGTGTCTTATGAGCTCCCAATTAGCACCTAGTAAACATCCCCATATCCCCTCTGTCGGCAAATACTCCGGCCTCATCCATCAAATCTTTTGTTGGGCAGCTAGTGCGTTTTCCAACTATATATTCTCCTTGCCAAAGAAGCAAATCCACGCCCCACTGAGCAGATCGCCAAAATTATCACCTGCAAAAAATATTCTACCAGATTCACCTCAACTGGAAGTGAGTGCATCACGAGTGCATCACGAGTGCATCAAGAGTGCATCAAGAGTGCATCAAGAGTGCATCAAGGTGTACCTGTGTAATTTTACCCGGTATATTACTGACGGGCTTGAAATTCCGATCGCTATTATGCTAATAATGTGGCAAGACTGCCTGGTTTTACCGGGACAGTTCCGTTTTTAAATGCTATGTCCCGGTTCGGAAACTGTCCCGGTTCTGGGGGAGGCAAAGAACCAATATAAATGAACCTTTGAACTTCCCGGGGGAAATTCAAGGTTGTGCAGCAGTCAGTAAATATTAAGGAGCTAATCATTCTCTCCATTCTGGGGTCCCGGTTTTTTGCATTGCTAGGACTAACTTTTGGGCATTTTCTTGATGATGTCCCGGTTTGTTCGTTTTTTTTTTCCTGAAAAATAATCGTTCTAGTGTACCCGAGAACCCAGCATGAAAGGCCCTTCTTTCATTGAAAGCCAGTCTCTCTATACCATAATAATACCACCATGAGATCTTTCTTCAAAATACATTCCGCTGTTATTGGGGGGATAAGGATTTGGGAATGCGGCCGTTATGAACGCATTTCCGTCTTTCCATCACTCCATGAAAGGGAGGTCTACGAGGTATACATGCTCCTTTCCCCTCACTCGGGAGGGAGGCTGATCGGGTGAGAAGGAACGCACCAGGGGAGGCACCTGTGTGTGTGGAAGGGGTGAAGCATGGCCGAGACCCTCCTGGCCATGCTCGCTCCGTCTCCTGTTTCTCCCCGCAATGGTTCATTCTCGTTCACTCATAACGGCATCATGAAAATCGATTGCCATTTCTTCTCTAATGTTGCCACTCTCCAGAAATTGCAATGAGAGATTCCTCTCTTTAACTTGCGTGTGTTAATCCTGCTCTCTGGGACATTATTCTTGCCGTTGTGTAACTATGCCCCCCCCTTAATAATTTTAACAACCAATGCCAAATTTTTGCACGAAAGGTTTATTTTGAGTTATCAGCAATGCAATCATTGCAAGAAGACTTAATTTTAAAATTAAATTTAACTTCAATGCGGCACTTGTGATTCCTTCAGGTTAAGCAGGAAACGAAGACACGGCCAAGCAATCGAGGTTATCCTTTGAGGCAGAAAATCCGTAAGGCTTGAATGAAACCTAATTGAGTTTTTTTTTTTATACAAACCCGGAGTACGAGATTATACAGGGTGCGGCAAAAGTTCTGGAACCATAATTTTTTCTTAATTTCAGTCTTCAGAAATATCCTTGTTCATTCGAATTTGCATTGCTTATCAATTGTAAAATGTTTTCAGGTGTTGTTTCTCGATAAGTCAAAGCTTTTACATATTTTATGAAAATTTTTCTCCGTCCTTTATCCTCTTTTCTTAAGATGTTTACCTTAAGAAAAGAGGATAAAGGCCGGAGACGAAATAAGATCAGCGAATCGCAATGATCGAGCTGCACATGAAGGGCAAAAGCAATCTCGAAATTGCACGTTTGCTTGAGAGTCCAAAGAAAAGTCTGGTGAGCTGTAATTCGGTTTAAAGGGCTGAGTACTGCTGAAGACCGGTAAAGATCTGGCCGTCCGAGAACCGCGAACACTCAAAAGAGCAAGAAAGCCATCCAGTCTCGGATGAAAAAAAAATCCGGAGACTTTCAATGAGGGAGATGGTCTGAGAAATGAAGATCGGCGAACTCCATCTTCGCCCTCACAAGCAGCAGAAGGCCCAAAGATCGATGGGAAAAATTATGGAACAACGACTTCGCAAAGGAAAATTATTGATCGCAAATGGCCGCCGTGGTTCTCATTTCGGATGAGAAACCACTGGTCTTCATTCAGCTCAAGTTTACGTTAAGGCTGTCTTGGAAAAGTCCTCGTTTCGTGAGGCTCAACAACATTTTGGACAATGCGAATGGAATTTTTCAAACAGGACTCTACAATCCGTTGCACGGATTCACCCAGAATGGCCAACTAGCCCGACATGAACCCAATGGACTGTTCCGTTTGGAGAACGCTGCAGCAAAAAGTTTGCTCAAACTGGACAATTTGGAAGCTCACAAAAGTGTGGAGGCGCGATCGAGGCGCGATCTGCTCCGCGCTTGGGACGCAATCGACGAAACGCAGTTGCGCGCCATCGTCGGCCGGTTTCCTCGTCGTTTCGTGAATTAAAAGTCATTAAAGCCGGTCATTTTGAAAATGATTTTTGAAGCAATGCTCTGATATGTCTCCTTTATCATATTAATCCTTCAGCCGGTGAATTTTCGCTTTGGTTCCATTTAAAGATTTCGGAAGCGTTGCTTCCAGAACTTTCGCCGCACCCTGTAGACCGTCTATATCACCATCTCGCAGAAACTCATGGCCATAACATCGCACATCGACATTGCGTTTCTCTTATATCATGACTTTCTGCGAAGGCAACCATGCGTCATGCCTCCCACACGACTCGAGGTAAACATCGCTTCCTCCGAGAGGGAAAAACCAATATCCGGCGCCCGGTCCGGATTGGCCTCTCGCGGTCGGGGATCGTGGTGGTTCGGGGAGAATTAATCTTGGCGTTTGGGGTCTTCATGCCTCTTCCGGATGGAATGGTTTTGGATTTCGCGGGGTCTGGACGGGCTAACAGACTTTCCCGGCCATCTTTTCTGTTTCTTCGTCGATGTAATGCACCGTTAAAAAATGTAATAGCACTTCTATAAGCAACTATCGATAGTGTATCGATGCATTGGGGGGGGGGGGGGAATGAGACCTACTGTCGAAGAGGATGCATCAGGAGAGCCAGAATTTTTTCTTATTTTTTCCTTCGTTCTACATCGTCGGCACCGGCAGATGGGAAATCTGCCGACGATGCCATACCGGCGGTTGCCGAAATATCGGTACAGTCCTAAAATAAGCAACGTCCATTCACTTATAGTTCACCTTAAGTAGAGATAAAATGTCCCTGGGGAAGTAAAAAATTATGAGGGAAACCTGCGCAATAAATAAAAAGACAGGAATATAGAGAGGGCATTTACCAATATACGTTTCGAAATGGAGGGAGTATGAGAACGGCCCACTTCCTCAGCATGCTATCTGATGAGATCGAGCCGAGGACTGAAACAGAAGAGAAAGAAATATTCTCGACCTTCCCCCTTTCCCACTTCCTTCCGATCCGATTTTTTTTTTTTTCCCTTTCCCGTCTTTCGTATAGTCAGTCCCAGAATTTGATTGATTTGATTGATTGCGATAAGAAATTGCTGGCCCATGCGAGTCACGCCGGATTTTTTCCTTTCTGGACTGGATTGAACCGGATCCGATGGGACATTTCCCCTTTAAAATATTTTGCCGATACATCGCGATGGTCGGAAAAACTATCGATATCTCCAACCATCGATCCATCGTGACTTCTTAGGAATCTCATTCTTCACCAGGAACAATCATGTCACCGCGTCCTCGTTGCTTCGTTTGGGACGGGATATCGCACGAATTCCTTTCTATGTTGCCGATTGCAAGGCAATTTAATTTGGTGTAATTTATATTTACATATAACATTTCAAGGACTCCTTGGCGGTTGCTGAATGCTGAATCGAAGACTTCTCGTTTATTGCAGATACAGGAAGGGATTCTATTGGTTCACGGTGACCGTGTTCATCATGGTCCCTCTCGCCCTCCTCCTCGTCCTCAACATCCTCCTCATCTACCACGTCCACCGGACCTTCCGTCAGAGGACCCTCCTCATGGCCCACACGGCCAGCCAAGAGATTCGCGAGAACCGTGTCACCGTCATGCTCATCGCCGTGTCCGTCCTGTTTCTCCTCTGCCAGAGTCCGACCGCCTTAGTCCTCATCTACTCCTCCTTCGACCAACCCGTACCGAACTCTCGCGGCGATTACATCCTCAGGATCTGCGGGAACGTCTTCAATCTCCTCATGGCCATGAATGCTGCCATTAATTTCCTGTTCTACTGTGCCCTGTGCGACCGCTATCGCAGAGCCTTGATCAGCATCTGTCGCGGAACCGTGTCGGGATTCCGGGATTCGTCCAGGTGTCAGGATCATAGAAGAAATGTCGGGTCGCCTGGGTTGTCTCCACCTCTGCAAAATCCCTTTCTGGGAATCTCAATTAACGGTGATCTCAACTCCGAGCTGGGTCACGTGACTGAAGCTCATCAGTTGACACAAATTAGGCTGTCAGATCTGAGGCCTGCCACTTAGCGTGTTTGACGTCAATTTTCTCTATGTCAATTTGATGATGTTCACTATTATTCTATTTCGTTTCACTCCCTCCGCGAATCCAGTCTGAGCATCGGTTTCCCGGAAATTTTTTCAGGTCTCTCACATGATGGATTCAAGTGAAAAGTGATCGTGTTCAAGTGCAAAATTATTATTTCGTTCATAATCCATGGAGTCGCGGAAGCGAATTGACACCCTCGTCAATTGCTGCGTCGTTATCGTCAAATATAATGTTTGCATGAAAAATTTCCGGCATTCCCTTCAATCCCCGTTCGCATTGATGGCATCGGCTTTTCCGGTTCCATAAGTTTCAATTTTGATGAACCCCGCTGAACCAATTGTTAGACACGTTTTAATGGAACCAATCGACCCAACGCTAACGAGGCAAGGGATGATTGCAAGGCAATGCATCAATTGGATGCATCTCATCCTCCATCATCGCAAGAACGAACCTCATTCCATCCATTTTCGTCGTTATTTATTTATCACCTGAAAGAGATTGCTCCCCATTGAATTTCGACAGTGTCCCTTTCGTCCAGCAGCGAAGGCGTGGAAGCACTTCAACGTTATTTCCCCCGATGCTTTGGGTTGCCCAAGAAGTCCTTCTCGCAGTACCGATTTTCCATTTAAAGGGCATTTTTGTAAGTCTTCTTCCGTCGACATTTTCATCACATTTGCAAAGAATTTATCCCGGATAAATTCTTTTCTGGAATTTAACCGCCGGTTAGATTCCAGGGGATGTAAGTAACTCGGGCGTAATAATTTAGCAAGAACCTTTATTAAGCTCTTCTGGAGAGGGGAATTTTTTCAATAATTTTAATCTCATTTTTTAAACTTCCAGAGTTCCTTTGGAAATATCTGGACATTTTCTTTTGCAACTTCGCATGAGTGCCGCGATCCCTTGCCGGCATGAAAATTGCCCGATGTTATCCTGTCTGAAGAACTCCCTTTCCCCATGGCTGCTTCGTCTCAAGCAGGTAAAGGCAGAGCCCAGATACGTAAACGAATCGATCGACCGGATAATAAAAAAAGAAGTCTTATCAGGACAGCTCAGGATATATATATATATATATATA